TCAGTGTGCAGATCTTTCATCTCCTTGGTTAAATTAAAAAAAAATCCCCTATGCTGTATTTTTCTCTATCCTGATTGTTTTTTTTTTGTTGTTTGATTTGGTTTTTGATTTAACTCCTTGGTTAAGTTTATTCCTAAGTGTTTTATTATTTTTGGTGCTATTGTGAATGTGATTGTTTTCTTTATTTCTTTTTTAGATATTTCATTGTTAGGAACACAACTGGTTTCTATATGTTGATTTACTGATTTCATTTATTTTAACTTTTTTTTGGTGGAGTCTTTAGGATTTTCTTTATGTAAAATTATATCATTGGGAAACAGAAAATTTTACTTTTTCTTTTCTGATTTGGAGGCCTCTTATTTCTTTTACTTGCCTAATTGCTCAGTCTAGGTCTTCCAGTACTATGTTGATAAGAGTGGTGAGAGTGGGTTCCCTTGTTTTATTCCTGATCTTAGAGCAAAAGCTTTCAACCTTTTACCACTGAGTATGATATTACCTCTGGGCTTGTCATATATGGCTTTTAATATGTTGAGGTATGTTCCTTCTATATCCAATTTGTTGAGAGTTTTTACCATAAATGGACATTGAATTTTGTCAATTGCTTTTTATCTTTTGTTCTATTAATGTGATGTGTCACATTTGCTGATGTGCACATGTTGAATGAAAATTTATCCCTTGCATCCCAGGGATAAATTCTACTTGGTCATGCTGTTATGATCCTTTCAATATACTGTGGAATTCAGTTTGCTAATATTTTGTTAAGAATTTTTGCATCTATATTCATTGGGGATATTGACCTGTAGTTTTCTTTTCTTTTAGGGCCAGTATTTGCCTTTGGTATCAGGGTATTGCTGGTCTCATAAAATGAGTTTGAAAGTATCCCTTGTGCTTCAATATTTGGAAGAGTTTGAGAAGGATTGATGTCAATTATTCTTTAAACATTTGGTAGAATTTCACCAGTGAAACCTTCTGGTACTGTTTTCCATTGTTAGGATGTTTTTGATTATTGATTCAATCTCCTTACTTGGTATAAATCTGTTCAGATTTTCTATTTGGTTGGTGGAAAATGGATTCAGTCTTTGTAGATTGTGTATTTCTAGGAATTTATCCATTTCCTTTAGATATATCCAATTTGTTGGCATATAATTGTTCATAGTAATCTGTTATGATCCTTCCTATTTCTGTGGTATCAGTTATAAAGTCTATTTCATTTCTGGTTTTATCTATTTGAGACTGCCAGATTTCAAGGGGAGGTATTTGTGTGTATTGTGGCCAAGGGGTGGTATTTGTGTGTATTGTATACCTCTAGGACAACTGTAAGACCAAAGGAATCCCTGGACACCTAGTGAAGAGGCTTGTGAGTTGAACTGAAAATGCTTGAGCTTCTCAAGGCAGAAGATTAGAAGTGGACACTTGTACTATATACACAGAGTAGAGTCAAAATTGAATCAATCTTACATGACTGCACCAAAGTTTAGCTTCTATATTTCTGTGGTTGACTTCATCTTCCTCTGGGGCTACTTAAATTCCTGGTGATTATAGAAAATCATTTTTTAAAGCTTATGATTAGAAGGTAATTTAGCCTATTCCAGCTAAATAGTTTAATTTTTATGGATGTATATATATATATTCACATCCAAGTAATTTAAAATTCCAACTCCCCACCAGAGCTCTCTTCTGAAGGGTCTCCCCTCTTTCTTCTTATGCCCAAAATGGTGTCTGGGTATAGGGGGAGCTTATTTAACCTCATAACTTTGGGGAAAGGCTCTTTGCCCAAGTGATGTCATTCTCTCTGTTTTCCTATTGATTATACCAGTTGAGGTCTCTACTCACCTCTGCAATGACTGGCTTCTGTCCTCACTGCATCCAGTGCTGAAGTGCCCATTTTTGTCTTCCATTGGCTTTCAGGCTGGCTCGGTCTAAACTGTGACTTTCAGTGTCATCTCATCCCTCTCTATAGTGACCCAAAGGCAATATCTGGCTCTTGACTCTTGGCTAGTTTCCATGACCTTCACTGGGAACAAGTAGGATATTCTATATCCTTTCTATTCTGCATGGGAAAATGTGGGAGACTTGAGGATAGCTAACAAATTCTCCTTGTCTAACAACTTATGCTTATTTCTCCTTAGTTGCTGATGTCCATGTTGGTTTAGGTCAACAGATACTCTGTGAAGTGGTCTGCTCATGTGTTGCAAATAGGAACTGTAGTGCACAAGGGCCTTTTACTACAAAGGGCACAATTCAACAGTCTGAGACTTCCATCCTGTCTCTCTTCTCTACTTGAATTCTGTCTCCACAATCAACCCTTTAAATGGCTGTGGGGGCACTGAAAACCTAAAGAACTCAGGTGGGATGTGCACATTCCCACTGCTTCTCCACTGCTCAGTAGAAGAGCATGAATTCTCCCCCGTCTGGTGGCTACTTCTCTCATCATGTCTTCCTCCGTGGACTTTTGTTCTAGGCAGTATCTGCCATGCCCTCCCATCAGGTGATTAATGTTGAAAGGGGCTAAACAGATCAAACAAAGATCTGGATTACTGAAAAGGAAATGTTCTGGGAGGCATTGAAAATGATTTCTCTCATTACCTCTTTTAAACCTACTCTACAGGTCTAGTACTATACCTGTTCTGTTGAAATCTTGGGCCAAGCCTGTAATATTCTGTGGTCACTCTTTGATAGCTATAAAACCCTTTGTTCACAAGAATAGTCTCATCAACAATAAAAATGTGCAGGCTAGTGTAATAATCAAAACTCCATACTCTTAGCTAATTATCATTAATTATGTAGTTGTCTGCTCAAAAAGCATCTCCTCAGAGAGGCCTTCTCTGATCATTCGATATTAAAAGTAGCCTCATGGTGGCCTCCTAGCCACTTTCTACTGTATCACCTTGATTTAATTCATTTCAACTATACATATTGGGGGCTTACTATATGCCACCCAGAATTATTCCAGGCACTGGGGATATAATAAACAAGATAAACCAGGTTCTTTATACAGTGGGAGGGGAAAGATAATAGATGATCTTAAGTGAGCAGGAAAAATACTTAGTGGTATGTGCCGTACAGAGAATTAAGATTAAGTGATATGATTGAGTGACTGGCTGACTAATTTACACTGTGGGGTCAAGAAAGGTCTCCCTGAGGAGGTGACGTTTAAGCTGAAATCAGAATGACAGTGTTTTACTGGTTGCATATTGTGTAACCAACAGAGGCAAAAGCTTGTAAAAAATTGTACGTCATGCAGCATGATTCCTAGATGAAAGCACTCAAGCATAACCACACAGTGTTCCCTGGAGTATTGGGACAACCTGGTGGAATGATGAGTGATCCCAAAAATGGTCAGAAATTACGCATTACTTTGCCTGAACCAATTCATGGTTCAGTAGAATATTCAATTCCCATGACCCTTTTTGGCTGAAAGATATACTGGGAAGCTGAGCTGATGACAAAAGTATACCAATTAACCAAGCCCAAAGAACTGTGAAATTTTTATTATGATTGCTGAATATCTGCAGATGATGTAGAATCTGAGAAACAGAGGGTCAGTGTGGAGGAAGTGCTGCATTCAGGCTCCCTTTTGCCTGACGAAGTATCGATACAGTTGCATTTGGAAACGGAGCCCTCAGTGGAAGGGCAGGAGTTAGAAAACAGTCTACCATTTTATAGATTTTCCATGGACACAGGAAGGAAAAGGAAGTAGGTGAGACTGCTTTGGAGCTTAATCTCCACCAGCCACGCTGATTGATAGATTTGGAACACTGAGAAAGACTCTTTAATGTGAAACACCTATGAGACTAAGAGATATTTGTAAAATATCTTCAAGGCATTGTTATGTAGATAGTATGCATCTCCAGCTTATTGGGAATTTATTTGCCCTGATGTGTTCTTTAAGAAAACATATGCATACAATGAAATGGTTTTGATTTGTCTTGGGTATTTATTATCTAACTGTGAGGATTACTTTTATATCCGAATTTTATCTTTACTTAACTGGGCTAAGTGATGCCCAGACAGCTGGTACAACATTAGTTCTAGGTGTGTCTGTGAAAGTGTCTCTGGCAGAAATTAGCATTTGAACTGGTAGTCTGACTAGGTAAGACTGCCTCACCAATAGGATAGGCACCATCCAATCTGCTGAGGGCTTGGACAGAACAAAAAGGCGGAGGAAGGGTAATTCCATCTTTTTGTTTGAGCTGATACATCCATCTTTTCCTGCTCTTGACATTGCAGCTCTTGGTTCTCAGGCCTTCAGGCTCAGACCAGGACTTACACAATCAACCCCTGATTTTAGGGCCTTTGGACTTGGGCTGAATTACACCATTTCCTTTCCTGATTCTCCAGTTTGCAGTTGGCAGACTGTGGGACTTCTTGGCCTCCATAATCCTGTGAGCCAATTCCTATAATACATCTCTTATATGTAACTATATATGTATATTCTATTGCTTTTGTTTCTCTGGAGAATTTTGACTAATACAATAACAAGTTGTATTATGAAGATGGTTTGACACTATCTAATCACCAAATATTAAAGACAAATTTTCTTTCAATATATAAACTCTGATTACAGAGCAACATATGTTCTTTATAGAAAAAGCTATACAGTTATGGTTTCCACTGGCACTGACAGATAGTTCTGAGTGTGGATGTGACCCCAGTGAGTCTGGCTAGAGGTCAGTGTTCCCAGGATTGCTCTGGCCAGGAGCTGACCAAGGTGAAGAGGACATGCGTGCAGGTGAACTTGAATGGGTGTCTTTCCAGGATGTTCCTGTAAAGTATGATTTTAAAATGACACTCTTCTACCTGTAGTATGATCAGGCCCTGTTCTTATTCTTAAGCCTAAATATAGACAAATGACATTCATGAATAGGAGCTCATATGAAATCACCTGCCTGAGTAAAGACATGCCGTTGATTAGTCAGTGAGGAAGAATCTTTCCTCCTGTCCAAGGCAGCTGTTTCCAGCTTCTCTCATCTCCTCTGGGATCCTGACCCATCACTTACCTTCTTTTTCTCATCCGTCCATGATCTCTCTTTCCACTGGTCTCAGTTCTTCTGTCTTAAAAATGCTGAGGTTGTTCTTCCTGTGAAGAAATAAAAACCTTTCCTTTGTCCCTGTTGTCGCCGTCAGCTGTCACCCTGCCTCTCCTACTCGCACTGTCCAGCCCTTTGAAAGAGTGGCCTGTGCTTGCTCCTGGGCTTCCCAACCCCCACTGACTAGTCCTGTGGCTACTGTCTTTGACTTCTAGCCTCATAAATGACCCACACCTTCATTTGGCAACCACTTGGAAAAGGCGTGCTCTCCTAAGGGCAACGGCAGTTGAATTCTGTTATGAGGAACGTTTAAGTGTTGTTTAAAAACAACAGCCATTTGCCGAAGAGCCTGAAAGGGAGTTCCTAGAGGGGGCAACATTGGCACCCAACAGAAAAGCCATGCTCCTTCACAGCAAATGGGACTGAAGTGGAGGCTGAGAAGCTTGGACTGCCCATTAGCAGGGACAGCTCGTACAAACCCAGACACCTCAGCTAGAGAAATTCAAAGCATGGTTTCTAATAGGAGCCCAAGTAAGTATGCTAAAAAAAAAAAAATCTAACATTTTCAGTGTCTGGAATTTGCCGTTTTTATGTACAGCAGTGAAATAGAAACATGTGCTGTCTTTGGTTGGGTTCTTCCAGAAGTGGACCTTGAGCCAAGGATTTGGGTGTAAGTTGGTTGTTCAAATGCAGCACCTGGAAGAAACCAGTAAAGTAGGAGAAGCAGCAGGCTGGGGACAGGGAAGAAGCTAGGAAAGGTGAGGTGAAGTCCAGGCTCAGCCTGATGATCTCGGGTGCCTGACACACAAGAGTGGGGCTTTTGCACTCACACCCCAGTACATCATTGGCCACAGGTCTTGGTGAGAGTGGAGGTGGAAATAAAATTCCCAGGCACTCCCTCTTCTCCTTACAGGCTTAGGGGCTCCAGTGTCCAAGGGAAGGCTGCTAAAAGTTGCAGATGCAAATACCGTAAACTCTGAAGCTAGGGATGGGTGAAGAGCAATTGTACAATGGATCCAACAGGATCTGGCCAGTTCTCCAACATATCTGCTACATGTGTCTAAAGAGAGAGTCTCCTCCAGCATGGCAATGCAGTGTAAAGTGGAGTAACTGCATGACACCCAGAGCCCTGGTATCTTTAATAATGGATCAACCCAGGGATGCTGAGGACACTCTGGAGAATATCTGGCATCACATAAGGGACATTGACTATGCAAAAACCCTGTGAGCCCGCAGCAAACTTACTCTTTAACTGTCTCAGAGAAATCACAAGTCTTCATGGAGACTTGTATAAAGATGTAGTGTACAAAGAACTGGATAAATTAAGTATGTATAAAATGCCCCCTGTATATAGAATTTTCCCCTTGCAGACATGGATCATTCATTATTGTTTTTTGAACTGCAAGGGCTTTAAATGTATTATAGATCCACTTTATATATATTATTTTTATATGTTGGAGAGCAAGAATTATTCTTAAAGAAAATAATAGAAATTGAGCTGCTACCTGAGCTAAAAGTGTGAAAAAGCAGCAGAAATAAGGGGTAGCAGGACATCTGAGCAGTGTCCTCAACGATGAAGAAAGGAAGTGGTGGAGCTGGTCTCCTTTCCGCTTTCGAAGGCCATGTGGACTTTCCTTTGGGAAGTCATCCCCACTACTCCCCAGCTCCAGGAGTTGGCCCAGCTGGTCAGCAGAATTCCCTCCCTCCCGACAAGCTCTTGATTGAGACTGAGGAAAGGTGAGCTAGGCTTAACCCCACCAGCTTTCATTTAACAGAGAAAAGACTGGACCTGAAAGATCAGTTTTTCACTATGTACAAATGTATGCCTGAAAAGCCTAAACAGGCATATATATTCCCTTCACCTAATATATTTAGTAGATTTTCCCCACTTCAGGATACTTTAAAAAGTCAAGAGTTTAATGGCAGTTAATCACAGTTGGCACACTTTGCAAGAAATCGAGAGCTATAGTTCAAGAAATGCCTTTATTCTGTAAAAATTTGCATTAGTGGAGTGAGTCAGGGCTGTGCTTGTAGGTGCCTGGGACCTATGATATGGCTGATCATACAATGCTATGTAGGCCAGGCAGGATCTGGTACTGTCTCCCATCTGCAACCAATCTGTCCTAATAAATATACAATTGTATATCCTCTCATAGAATCAAATTAAAACAAAAGATGATCAGTTTCCCATAGATAAATTAGGTAAGGGGATTGTGGTTTAGGACCAAAAGGAAAAATCTGTCGAACTCTCTATATTCCCCTTAGGAAGATTCCATGACTCTTCTGATTATATCTAGGCTTGGCATTACTGTTCCTAATTTATTACCTCCCAGGAAGAAACAAAGAATCTGCTGAGTAATACTGATGCTAGAAGCTGGAGAAATCATGAGACCTTAAGACTTCTGGCTTCACCAATCAAAAATATACTATGCTAGCATGCTTCATGGGGAAAGCCTGACTTTGCCGTTACAATGTTATTTTCAGTTCTTCATTATTTTCTGATTCTAAGAACTCTGGCTTGTGTCCCTTCAGTTTTAGAAACAAAAGTCAGAGTATCAGTGCTGACCAAATATAGACACTGGTTTGTCTCTGTTACTATTTAGAAGAAAATGTAGGATTATTAAGCAAACTCCCTAGGGTTTTCAATGTGAACCCCACTGGAATTTCAAAAACAACTGCTGTGGTGAAATTATACTCTGATTTAACTTTGCTAGTTTGAAGTATGGAGAACCAATCAGTAAATACAGTGCTGTCTAGATTATGTTACAAATAAAGGAATCATAGACTCAGAATTACAGGCCTGCAGAGGCTTTGGAAGACTGGTAGTGCATTTGCTTCCCTCTGTACATATATTTAATTTTACATTTGGATTAATTATAGTGTTTAATACTATAGTACTTATTAGTGTTTCATACTATATTTGGATTAGTAATACTATTGATAACAACAATGGAGAGAATAGTGAAAGGTTCACATTTATCCTGGCTATTTCCTGGACTTAATCTCCAATTTGTTTCATTACCTTCAGTATTTTAAACTTATTGGGTAGGTTTATTTTTGAATGGAGAATAACGTGTATTTACAGACTTAAAAAAGCTCATAATGTAGAGACAATACTATATGGCTTATTATGATGCCATTCTCTTAGCAGTGACATATTTATGCTCACTAAAATAAGGATCATAAAATCAAGAGTCCTCACACTCTGTTCACGGACGTCACCAGCTGAAGTTTAAAGAATTTGGACTACTTTTGCCTTTGTGTCTTTGCTTTTCCCTATGCTGATGTCTACTGAGTCACCACTAAGCACTTCAGTGCTTTTATTTATTTGTACATCTGGTTTCATGTTCCCAGCAACTGACACAATGTAATATGGGGTGTGTTCACTATATCTGTGTTGAGTGAAAAGGCAAATCAAGAGGGAGAGGGAGAGGAAAAAGAAAAGATGGAGCACAGAGGTTTTTTAGGGCAGTGAAACTATTCTGAATGATACTATAATAGTAGATAACCTACTATACATTTGTCAAAACCCATAGAATGTACCACACAAAGAGTGAACCCCAGTGTAAATGACAGGCTTTAGTTAATAATATTAAATCAACATCGGTTCATCAACTATACCACACTAACACAAACCAAATAATAGGGGGAACTGTGTGCAGGAAAGGGAGAAAAGAGGGCAAGTGGGAGCTCTCTGTACTTTCCAATCAATGTTTCTGTAAACCTAAAACTACTCTAAAAAAACATTAAGTCTATTAATTTAAACAACAAGTAAAGATAAATCAAAATAACTTAGATGGCCAAATATCTAGTGGCCAAAAATAAAAAAATCACATACAAAAATAGAAAACCTTGTCATAATCTTTAAACTTTCATGATAACCTGTAATGTGTCTATTGTAAGCAACAGAGAGCCAGATTTAACTAGCACAGGCACAAAGGTAAATGTGTTAGTTTGCTTACTCGAACCATGGGAAAACATCAGGGAAAACTGCGTCTAGAGACTGGAACACTCTTCTTTATATTTGTAACACTCTAGATTGACTTTCTTTGTGATGCCCAAGCCATGGTGGCCAGCACTTCCCAAGCTCACGACCTCCCAGGCTTGCCCTAGTGGGAAAGCCTTTAGTTGTAAGAAAACTCCCCCGTGGGATGCTGGTCAGCTTAGTTTGGAAATATGAACACCTTTAGATCATTTATGGGGCTTGAGAGACAGGCTTCATTCAGTTAGAGTATGGTGTTTACCACCCTGGAAACAAGCAGGCATGCTAGAGCCTATTGCAGTTATCTGGGCAAGAGACATTGGTGGCTGTACATTGGGAGGTAGAGGTTGACAGAGAGAAATGAGCAGATTCTGGATTTGTTCTGAATACCTGTCAGGATCTATTGAGTCCTTGGGTACAGGGTGTGAGAGAAAGGAATGAAAATGACTTCAGAGTTTTTGTCCTGACAACTCAGAGATGGAGAGCTATCTTTAACTGAGCTGTGATGGTTAATTTTGTGTGTCAACTTGACTGGGTTGAGGGAACCCAGACAGCTAGAAAATTATTATTTCTGGGTGTGTCTGTAAGGTGTTTCCAGAAGAGATCAGCATTTGAGTCAGGGGGTTGAGTAAAGCAGATCACTCTCACCAGCCTGGGCAGGCGCCTCCATCTGTACAGGGCCTGAAAAGAACAAAAAGGCAGTGGGAGGGTGAATCCGTCTCTTCTTGACCTGGGACAACCATCTTCTCCTGACTTTGGACAGGAGATTCTTGGGCCTTTGGACTTGGGAACTTACACCATCAGGCAGCCCTGCATTCTCAGGCTTTGGCTGCAGACTGGGGATTACACCGTTGGCTCTAGTACTGTCGGCTTTGAACTAGGACTGAATTTTATCTCCAGCTTTCCTGGTTGTCCAGGTTGTGGATGGCAAATTGTGGCATATCCCAGCCTCCATAATCATGTGAGTCAATTCCCATGATAAATCTCCTATATCTATCTATTATCTATCTATCTATCTATCTATCATCTATCTATCTATCTATCTATCTATCTATCTATCTATCTATCATCTATCTATCTATATTTCATTGTTTCTGTTTCTCTGGAGAACTCTGACTAACGCATGAACAGAGGAATATCATGACAGCAATAGGTTAGCAGGGTATTAGGAGCTTAGTTT